CCTATACATATACATATAAACATCTATTTATGCTCTCGTTTATTTTCTATAAGTAAATGAATAAAGGAATAAGAGAAATGTGTATATATATATAGTATATACATATATATGCATATATACTCGTATGTATGTCTATTTATTTGAGTGTGTGCATTTTTCGTGAGAGGAAAATGAAGGTCTTTGTCATTTCCGAATATCTTCATAGATACTTATCCTTTTTAAAAATCATATTTTCCCTTTCAGCTGTAATTGAACTGCCACCTTCAGTAACTTCCAGCGAATCCCCAGGTGAGAATGTAAACCTCTTATGTGTAATAATGTTGACATTGGAGGTTTTGACCATGTACTATCAGTGACATAAATGCACTTACCTGTGAATACTATAAATTCACATCCCAGTACTGTATGCTGATATATATATATTCATGTGTGTATATATATTTGTTGTCAATGTCATTTCATAATACTTTGAACATTTTCTGATAAAACTTTATGATAAACATTCCATAGCATTTGATAAAAAATGCCAGTATTAGACAATCGTTTTCCTATAAGCTATAAGCTTAAAAGAGTTAGATATGAACCCGAATTTAAGCATTTGTCCTTTTGTGTTTAGATAATGAACTGTATACCTTACCCTCAGCTCCAAGTGAACAGCCACCAGTGAACGCCACAGCATGTGTTCCCTTCCGACACGATGGAGAAATCGTGAGTGGATGTGTTGGCAAGAAGGGGTGGAGGAGACAATCGAAATGGAGGGAGAAGGAGGAGTGATAAACAGGGAGACAGTGAGCGGTAGATGGTGCGCCTCAGCGGTAGACGAGAATCTGAATGCAGTGTCAGTTATAGCCTGCCCGACCATGTCTCGTAAGTGAAATATCTATTATTTTTCATATGTATTTATACGTATGTATGTTTATGGAATTGTGTGTGTTCATATATATTTGATATAGATATAAACATACATATGCATACATTCATTCATTCATGCATGCATTATTTATGAATCGGTAGGTGTTGTTGATTACGTAATTTTATAAATGAGTGTATGTTTTATGTTATATCAACAAATATTTGTCTTTTCTCCTTAGTTGTGCAGGAGGTAGAGGGAAAAAAAGGGAAACAAGGAAATAATATCTATATATGTGTGGGTTTCATATAATGTTAAATAAGAGAAGTGTATGTGCCTTTATAATAGCATTTTGAATTAAGAAACATACAGTGCTCTTTGTTATTTTATTTTATTTACTTATTTATTTATTTATTTTTTTTTTTTTTCAAAACTTTGATGATACCGCTTGTGTTCATGATCATATCCGACCTTCTCGATATTTTTCTGTTTGATTTAAAGGTATGAAAAATGCCAGTTTCAGATATGTTTGTCCTTTTTTATTAGAATGCGTTTTACCCTTTCAGTCATAACAGAATCACCGCTAGAGACCACTAGTACATATGAGTATGAAGGTAGGAAAGCATTACGTAAACCCTTGTATACATTACAGTAGTCTCTAGATCTTTCGGCCGCGACATCTCTGAATTTGAAGATGATTCCCATGTCATTTTGATGTAAAAAGGAATATATTGAATACAAAAACACATTTATTTTTTTCACTATGTAATATAAAATGAAATCCTTTTCCCAGCCTCAGCTGAAACGGAAGAGCCACCTTCAGAAAGTAGTGGGTGCGTTCCCTTCCGCTACGGAGAGGAAATCGTGAGCGGATGCCTTGGCGAGGAAGGGAAGGTGGAGACATTTGAGTTGGTGGGAGAGGGAGGAGCGAAGTTTAAGTTGACCCAGAGCCACAGATGGTGCGTCTCCGAAGTGGACGAGAATTTGAATGCCAGGAAGATTATAATGTGTCCGGAAATGGCTCGTAAGTGACGGAAAATTGACAAAATGCAAAGTTCATTGCTTTATATATTGTCTTTATAAGTTAATGTATAATTGTTATTTAAATTGTTGATTGTGCAATTTCTGTACATGATCCTACTTCCTAGAGTGTAGGTTTAGAGATAATAGTTGTCATGTTTGTTTATCAGGAAATATTGATCTTCCCCTCAGCTGTGACAGAAGGGGAGAGAAAGAAAAGAAAAATTATATATACAATATATATAGCTATATGTATGCTAGTGTAGATGTGCCTTTATATACATTGTTATTATGTATGTTTGAGTATCTGTTTTATTCTCATAGCAAGAAATCCAAAAATTATCGTAGAATATAATTTTCAAGGTAATTGTTCATCTTGGGCAGCTCATGTTTTTATTATTTTCATATCTGTCAAAAGCTGATGTTTCCTCCCCTAAAGTGCCACCCATGGGCGCCGCGACTACGCCTACCGGTGAGGCAGTGACTGGACTGTGTGTTCCTTTCCGATACGGAGGGGAAATTGTGAGCGAATGCATCGGCGAGGAAGGGAAGTGGGAGGTAATTGAGGTGGAGAGAGAAGGAGGAGTGACAGACAGCTGGACAGTGAAAGGCAAATGGTGTGCCGCAGAAGTAGACAAGAATATGGATATCGTATCAGTTATACAGTGCCCAAGTAAGTGAATAAGAATCCAAGTTATGCATTTTTTCTCTTTGACACACACACATGCATATGCATACCCATACCCATACATATACCCATGCTGACATCCATGCACACATACTCATACATATATATACACATATTTATGTATGTGTATACAGATATATCTATATATATGTAAGTATATATAAATATACATATTCATGTACCTATATACATATGTAAATATAAATGTGTACGTATATATAAGTATGTATATGTTTACCTAAGTATGTATGCATGTTTTTTTTAGTGTGTGTGTGTGTGTGCAAGCGCGTGTGTGTATATCAGTCGTTTTCCTTTCTCATCGCCCCTTTGGACTTGCAGTGGAGCAGTGCGTTCCCTTCCGATACGGAAAGGAAATCGTGAGCGGATGCGTCGGTGAGGAAGGGAAGGTGGAGACATTTGAGTTGGCGGGAGAGGGAGGAGTGAAGTTTAAGTTGACCCTGAGCTACAGATGGTGCGTCTCCGAAGTGGACGAGAATTTGAATGCCAGGAAGATTATAAGGTGTCCGGAAATGGCTCGTAAGTGACGGAAAATTGACAAAATGCAAAGTTCATTGCTTTATATTTGTCTTTGTAAGTTAATGTATAATTGTTATTTAAATTGTTGATTGTGCAATTTCTGTAACATGATCCTACTTCCTAGAGTGGTAGGTTTAGAGATAATAGTTGTCATGATTGTTTATCAGGAAATATTGATCTTCCCCTCAGCTGTGACAGAAGGGGAGAGAAAGAAAAGAAAAATTATATATACAATATATATAGCTATATGTATGCTAGTGTAAATGTGCCTTTATATACATTATTATTATGTATGCTAGAGTATAAGTTTTATTCTCATAGCAAAAAATCCAAAAATTATCGTAGAATATAATTTTCAAGGTAATTGTTCATCTTGGGCAGCTCTTGTTTTTATTATTTTGATATCTGTCGAAAGTGGATGTTCCCTCCCCAGCTCCGCCCGAAGAACCACCAGTGGGCGCTGCCACTACGGCCACAGGTGAGGCAGTGAACCTTTTTTTAACCCAGTTCTCATAGGCGCATATTCACATGAATGCAAACAGTATGTATTTGAGTCAATAGTTTTATGTATACATAAACATGTGTAAACAGAGAAGACTGCCAACAATAAGTTCGTGAATTTTGATTTAGTAAACGAATAGTTTATTTTGAACATGGGAGTGATATAGTCACGAATGATGATAATGTAAACCGTGTTTGTGTTTGTACATATATATATATATACTCGTATATGTGTATATTTATTATATTCATGTGTATATATATATATTTGTTCTCAATGTCATTTCATAATACTTTGAAAATTTTCTGATAAAACTGAATGATGAGGATTCTATAGGATTTGAGAGAAAATGCTATTATTAAGCATAATCGTTTTCCGATAAGCTATAAACTTAAAGGAGTGTTACCTTCAATAAGTTCCAGTGAATCCCCAGGTGAGAATGTGAACCTCATGTGTGATCATGTTGACATTTGTGGTTTTGACCATGCACTGTCAGTGACACTTATCGAGACACACGGACAGAAATGCCGTTACCAGGGAATACTATAAATTCATATCCCAGTACTGTATGCTGATTTAGATATCTGCATGTACATATATATATATATATATATATATATATATATATATATATATATATATATATATATATATATATATATATATATATATATATATATATATTATCTCTCAATGTCATTTCATAATACTTTGAACATTTTCTGATAAAACTTAATGATAATGATTCTATAGGATTTAAGAAAAAATGCTAGTATTAGACAATCATTTTCCACTAAGCTATAAGCTTAGATATGTACCCAAATTTTAGCATTCGTCTTTTTGTGTTTAGATGATAAACTATATACCTTACCCCCAGCTCCAAGTGAACAGCCACCAGTAAACGCCACTGAATGTGTTCCCTTCCGACACGATGGTGAAATCGTGAGTGGATGCGTTGGCGAAGAAGGGGTGGAGGAGACAATCGAAATGGAGGGAGAAGGAGGAGTGATAAACAGGGAGACAGTGAGCGGCAGATGGTGCGCCTCAGAGGTAGACGAGAATCTGAATGCTGTGTCAGTTATAGCCTGCCCGACCGTGCCTCGTAAGTTAAATTTCATATATATATATATATAAATATGCATGTGTCTATACATAAACATACATACATATAAATATGTATTTATGCATTTATTTATTTTCTATAAGTAAATGAATTAAGGGATAAGAGAAATGTATAAATATATACAGTATATACATATATATGCATATATACTCTTATGTATGTATATTTATTTGAGTGTGTGCATTGGTACGTGAGAAAAAAATGAAGGTCTTTGTCATTTCTGAATATCTTGATTGTTCATAGATACTTATCCATTTAAAAATTATATTTTCCCTTTCAGCTGTAATTGAAAAGACACCTTCAGTAACTTCCAGCGAACCCCCAGGTGAGAATGTGAACCTCTTAAGTGTAATCATGTTGACATTTGTGGTTTTGACCATGTACTGTCAGTGACACTTATTGACACATACGGACAGAAATGCACTTACCAGTGAATACTATAAATTCATATCCCAGTACTGTATGCTGATTTAGATATCTCCATATATATATATATATATATATATATATATATATATATATATATATATATATATATATATATATATATGTATGTATGTTTATATATGTATATTTGATGATTCTGCCTCTGTGGCAAATGATTTTGAAGGTGATTGTCTTACTTATTTGATATTTAAAAATCATTAGATGCGAACCCACTTTTTCATATGTTTCAGTTTATTTATTTTAACAAAAGAATGAAATAAGAATGCCGATATCGTGCACGGATAAACTAAAATGATTGCCTTTAACTTTCTTTTTTTACTAACTTTTACGGTCTATTTTGTAATCATTGTTCCCAATTTCCGATTTTGATTAAGATATCCCGGGATGCGTTCCCTTCCGGTACGGAGAGGAAATCGTAAGCGGATGTGTCGGCGAGGAAGGGAAGGAGGAGATAATTGAGACGAAGAGAGAAGGAGTATTAATCAGCTGGCAAGTGAAAGGCAGATGGTGCGCCTCAGAAGTAGACAGGAATATGACTGTGCTCTCAATTATAGGGTGCCCAGTCGTATCATGTGAGTTAATTATAATTCAGAGAGGACAGTTCTTATATATAAAAATAAATGTATATGAGTATATATATATACATGTGTGTGAATATGTATGTATATGCATATGTACATTATATATATATATATATATATATATATATATATAATATATATATATATATATATATATATATATATATATATATATATATGTCATATTAGAATATGTAATACATATGTATTAAGCAAAGTGTGTATAATTCTGAATGAAGTTGTGAAAGTCATTGTCAATCCAAAAATCTTATTTTTCTTAACTTATGACCTAAGCGCGAGAATTTTCATAATTTTCTTCAAGCTTGATGAGTCTTCCAGGATACTAAAAGTACCAAATGTAGTTATGAAGTTTTTTTATTCATTTTGTCACGATTCCTTTATCTACTTGGCGATTTCCAGGTGTCCACGGCTGCGTTCCCTTCCGATACGGAGGGGAAATCGTGCGAGGATGCCTGGGTGAGGAAGGGAAGGAGGAGACAATCAAGGTAGAGGGAGAAGGAGGAATGATATATAGCTGGACAGTGAACGGCAGATGGTGCGCTTCGAAGGTAGACGGGAATATGAGTATCGTTGCGATTATATCCTGCCCAACCTTGCATTGTAAGTGATTTGCAATACAGTCAATATACTTGTTTTCTTCCAGGTGTATATACTTACATATTACATAAAACAAGTATTTGTGTGTGTAGAAATGTTTGTAAAGTTTGTCATATCTGACCTTATCTGTACTTTTCTATTTGATTTACTATTATCAAAATTGCCAGTTTCAGATATATTTATCCTTTCTGTTAAAAAGCATTTTCCCTTTCAGACGTAACTGAAGAGCCGCCGCCAGAGACCACTACCATTAATCCATTTGAGTCTCGCTCAGTACCGAAAAAGCCTGAGTATGAAGGTAGGAAAGCATTACGTAAGCCCATGTACGTGTCCGTAATCTCTAGTTCATTCGCCCAGAGCAACTTAGATGTCTTGACCATGATCCGGTTCCAGGATTTTAAAAATTATTTTCATCAGTTACCCCAATTGCCAAGTATTATTGTTTTCATTACCTTTATTACCTCCGCCAAATAGGTTATGCTTATGGCCGACAGCAGTGTACTTGAGAAAGATGTGATTTTATTGTAATCCTTTATGTGTGAATATTTTTATTGCATCATAAACCTTATAGTTTTGACGGAGGTATGCGCTCTCTCAGTGCTTCTAGTTGAATCTAAAACCACACTTTTGTTTCTCGTTT